TTGTATGAATATACCGTAATTCATTTAACCAGTTCCTCATGGAAAAACATTTAGATTGTCTCCAACTTTTTGGTGGTATAAACACTTTCCTCCTTTTTTCCTTTATTGGGTTTTGGTTTAAATGCCACCATAATATTTGCTTATAAAATAATTTAAACCAAACTGAAATGTGTAACATAAAAAGTAAAAGTTCCTGTCCATTCCCAGCCCCCTCCCCCGTCGTACTTTCAAAAGTAATCTCTGCTAACGTTAACAGTATGGTGAGTGTGTATGTCGGTTATCCACTGCTTCACAACAAACCCCCAAAATCATAGTGGCCTAAAATGACCTGAGCAGACATTTCTCAAAAGAAGACATACAAATGGCCAAAAAAGAAATGAAAAAGGTTCAACATCACTAATCATCAGAGAATGCAAGTCAAAACCACAGTGAGGTATCATCTCACTCCAGGTAGGAAGGCTATTACTAGAAAGACAAGAACTAGCAAAAGGGAACTCTTACGTGCTGCTGGTGGAAGGTAAACTAGTACAGCCACTGTGGGAAACAGTATGGAGGTTCCTCAGAAAGCCACAAGTAGAACTACCATATGATCCAGCAACCCCACTACTGGGCTTTTAGCCAAAGAAAAGGAAATTAGTATATAGAAGAGCTGTCGACACCCCCATGTTTATTGCAGCACTATCCACAACAGCTAAGATACGGAATCAACCCTAGTGTCCAGCGGCAGATGAATGGATAAGGAAATGTGGTGTGTATGTGCACAGTGGAATACTGTTCAGCCGAAGAAAAGAATGAAATCCTGTCATTAGTGGCAACATGGATGGAACTGGAGGACATTACGTTAACGTGAAATAAGCCAGGAACGGAAATTTAAACACCACGTGTTCTCATATGCAGAAGCTAAAAAAAAGTTGATCACATAGAAGTGAAAAATAGAACAGAGGTTACTATAGGGTGGGAAGGGTAGGGAGGGATTTCTTAAAGGATATAAAATTACAGCTAGATAGGAAGAGTAAGTTCTAGTGTTCTATAGCGCTGCAGGATGACTATAGTTAATATACATTTTCAAATGGCTAAAAGGAGAAGATTCAATGTTCCTAACACAAAGAAATGTTAAGTGTTTGAGATGGTGGATATGCTAATTACCCTGATCTGATGACTGTACATTGCATGTATTGAAACACCACTATGTACCCCATAAATATGTACAGTTATTATGTGTCAATTAGAAAAACATAATGGGCTAAAACAACCCCCATTTTATTCATTTACAATTCTTTGGGATAGCAATTTGGGCTGGGTTCAGCCAGGCAGTTCTTCTGCTGATCTTATCAGGGGACAGTCGTGCCAATGCAGCCATCTGGTGGCTCTGCTAGAGCTGGAGGGTTCAAGTGGCTCCTCGCTCTCCCGTGTGGGATGGGTGCTGGCTTGCCACTGGCAGGTCTAGGAGGCCTCAGCTGGGATGACTCATCTCTGCTCCACCAGGTCACGCATCGTCCAGGAGGGTAGACAGGGCTGCTTCACATGGTCGTCTCAGGACAGCTTTCCCAGAGGGCAAGAGTGGAAGCTGCAGAGTATAGGACATACCTCTGCCACATTCTCTGGATCAAAACAAGCCACAGGGCAGCCCAGACTCAAGAGGTGGGGAAATAGACTCCACCCCGGGATGGGGAAAGCTTCGTGAGGGCTGGTCTCAGTTGTTCATACAGGTACGAGAGGAGCTGTCACCACCACCTCCACAAACAGCCTCCACAGTCTGCTGCGGGTACTTTTTCTACATATAGAGCAAACGTAAATATGCACACATATTTTGTTTTTTATAAAACTATTTTTGTTTTTAAGAACAAAAATGGTCTCACCCTACATACGTCTTGTTCAACCTCTTCTTGCTGTTTTCACTTAACCCTGAGGCTACTCTTCCGAGTCCTTCCTTATACATAAATCCACCGCAGCTGGTTTTTTTGACAGCTGCGCAATATTCACGGTTTGGCTACAGCATAATTTGTAAAGCCAATCCCTGTTACTGGATATTCAGATTGTTTTCGTTTGGGAGGTGTTACTGTTGCTGTCGTTTGCAACACCCCTTCTGAAGAGCTTCTGTGTTACTCTCTAAACTGCAGGCAGAAATGGACACACAGAAACAAATAGTTTGTCCCCTCTGGCTGTGTAAGGGCTCATTTTTGAGTTACTTTAACTCCCCAGGTTCAAATCATGGATCAGCTGCTCAAGTCACGCTCCCCTCGGGGTCTCCCTCTGTAAAGGATGAGCCTCACGTGTTTTAAGCCAATCAACGGGGGTTGGAGGTGGGGCGGGGCCGGCTCCCCTGGTCCTGCAGTCAGAGTTGCCCGTACCAGCCCAGGGACCTTCAGTGGGTAAATGCGCCCCCGCTGAGCCTCGGCTTCCCCGTGTATAAAAGGAGGCCAACACTAGCCCCACCGCCAGGGTTGTCCCAGGGACTCAGTGCAGAGCCCTCTGCACATTGCTGGGCCCGGCAGGTGCTCACAACTGCTGCAGCCCCTGACGAACCGTGCTCCTGCAGACTTGGCCTGAGGCAGATACTCCCCAAGCAGGGGCCATTGTGGTGATTGTTGTTGACATCATAATTGGCACTTTTTTTTATACCTAAGCTTACACCTCACAGTCCAACAATCGGCACTTTTATTTTAAAAGTGTGACAATAGTATTGTGCTCGTTAAGGGGAGAAAAGAGAGAGAGAGAGCCTTTACTTTTTTTTTTTTTTTTTTTTAAGAGAGACAGGGTCTTGCTCAGTGGCCCAGGCTGGAGTGCAGTGGCACGATCATAGCTCACTGTAACCTCGAACTCCTGGGCTCAAGCGATCCTCCCGCCTCAGCTTCCCAAAGTGCTGGGATTACAGCTGTGAGCCTCTGCACCCGGCCTGCCTTTTAAAGTGGCGTCAGTAAACTGTCCTGCAGGCTGGCCCACCTGTTTTTGTACTGCTAGTGAACTGAGAATTGTTTTACATTTTTAAAGTGTTGAAAATTTTGGAAAGAAGAACAGCATTTCATAGCCTGGAACTTACTTGACATTCCAGCTGCAGCGTCCTAAGTAAAGCGCGCTGGCGCTCAGCCACGCCCATGCGCTCAGGTGTTGTCTGTGGCTGCTTGTGTGCGACATCGGCTGAGTTGACCACCTGGCCGGCAAAGCCAAAAAAATTTCCTGTCTGGCACTCTACTGTAGAAGTTTCCTGGGCCCCATTTACACAGAGGTAAATGACATTACTAGTTGGGATTTCCTTTAAAACCGTGCAGGACGGAGAAGCAGCAGAGGTTTCCGTGAAACGAGATTGGCTGAGGTGATCATAGTTGAAACTGAGTGATGGGTCCTTGGGTGTCATATCATGCTGGTGCCTATGTTTGCTGTTTTCAAAATTGAAAGAAAAAAGTTTAAGTCCTCTGGCAGTGCAGGGCAGAGAGGAAGCACTGAGCAAATGCGCACTGTTGCCGAGACCCTCGTGCCCCCCAGAGCCTTGCCCGGCCCCCCCCCGGGCACAGCGCCCCAGGCTCAGGGCCGGGAGCACCTCTCAGGCCTCTGCCTTGCTCCACAGAGACCCTGCAGGAGTTCCTGAAGGTGGTGATGACCCTCAAGTACGACGAGAAGCCACCCTATGCCATGCTGAGGAACAATCTAGAAGTCCTGCTGCAGGATCTGCGAGTGTCACCCTATGACCCCATTGACCTCCAGATGGTGCCATAGGTGGAATCCAGGTGCGAAGAGTTTGGGGGTCATAACCCCTACCCGGCCCCCACCCCAGCCCTGGCCCAGGCGCCAACGGATGTGTCCCAGGGGCCGTTCCCTGATCACACCAGGGCCCAGCTTCCCAGTTAGATGCTGGATTTCTCCACAAGGTTCTTGAACTTTCCAGACCCCAGGAATGGCACGCAAATAGCAGAAACCCAACTCAACTTGGCTTTAAGAAAAGGGGGGTTGATTGGCTGTTGTAGCTAGAACATTCTAAGGGGGAAGCTTCAGGCATGACTGGATTCAGGGCCTCAAAATCAGCATCAAGATGTTGTTAGCTGTCTCTCACCTTCTTCCCCGTCCCTTTTTGTGTCCATCCACCCTCTCTCCCTCCGGCCTCCCACCCATGCGCCTGTAGGCTCCGCTTTCCTTTGTGCTGCCCTCCTCGTGCCCGCTCCACACGCAAAAGTCAGCCGCTGTGTGCCCCGTGCCGCGCCCTGCTCCTCTCACGTCACAGACCCTCTTCCGCCCCTCCCTCGTTGGCACAGAACGTCCCCAGTCTTGTTCCCAGCAGCGCGGTCCTCCGCCGCGTGCGTGGGGGACACTCCTCACAGCCAGTGCCTGGCGTTTGCTGGTCTCCCAGGTTTTCGTTTTGCAAACGTTGTGCTGCCGTTAACACGCGCATGCACAGCCTGGCTGCCGGCGCGCGTCTGTGGATGGAGTTGCCGCCGTGGCAGTGACAACCAGATCGCTGTCCGTCAGGGTCGTGCCTGTCTGTGCTCCCACGAGCCCCGTGCGAGAGTGCAGGAGTTTTTGGAAGGATGAAAATAAACCAAATTCACAGTAAACTGTGGCGAGGGCGCAGGGATGTGTCCGGAAGGAGGGGCCTCCCCAAGCCCCTCGTCTCTCCGTGGAGTTGTCATTCCTCAGTGCTTTGTCCAACTCAGTCCCCACACCCCAGGGACATCTGGCAGTGTCTAGAGATACTGTTGGTTGTCATGGCTCGGGGGAGGGTCCTAGTGGCATCTGACGGTAAAGGCCGAAGATGCTGCTCAACATCCTACGACACCCAGCACGGCCCCCACCTCTGCCCCCCAACAAAGAGTCACCAGCCCCGTGTCAGCAGTGCCGCTGTTGAGAATAAATAGCATCTCCTCGGGTGGCCGCCCGTCTCCCTTTGGCGGCACTTGGATGACGAGTGCTTCTTCATTCTCGCCGCCTGGCTTTACCTCCAAGGCTGAGGATACGAGATAACACAACGTGCAAAGCACTCGGCACGGCGCCTGCGCGCAGAGCACTGCGGAAATGCCAGGGTCGGGCGTCTGTCTCTGTAGCGGGGAGCGGTAGCATCTGCCTTAACCAGACACTCTCCAAAAGCGACGTCGCGGCCTCCTCCTTCCCCGCCTCTCCAGCTCAGCAGGTGGCTCGTCCTCCGCCCTCCCAGTTGTCCAGCCCAGACACCTTGGGGTCCCTTCGGTGGCTGCCTCCAGGTCTCCAGTTCCGGATGAGGCCAACTGCAGTCACTTGTCCTGGTCACCCCCTGGCAGTGAGCTCCGGGAGGGTGGGGGCGCGTCTGTGTCTGTCGTTTCTGGTTTCTGGCGTGGCAAAGGGCAGAGGCTGCCTCCGTGTTTGTTGACGGAGCGAGTCCAGGCGTCCCGCCGGCGCCACCCATCTTAAGTGCCTTCCAGCCCACCCGGTCCGGTGGACAGTTGAGCCTGAAAACTTAGCAGCGCCTTCCAGGATCACCGCCGTTTCAGGCCTGCTTCCTCCCCGGAGGCCACTCTCTCCGCAGCACATCTGTCCCTTGGTCAGGAACTTCACGTGGAGATGCCATTTTGGGAGCCCAGTGATTTTTGAGTGACTTGAAGATCATCTTGCCTCTGCCTTAGGGCAGCCCTTGCCTCGGCCTGCACGGCTGGGCTCCCTTCCTCGCCTCGCCCCCGGTCCACGACGCGCCGGCCACACCGTCCTCCCTCCAGCTCTAGACCAGGCCGGGCTGCATCCCGCCCTGGCACCTTTGCACCTGGCCTTCCGGGCTGTGGACGCTTCCCCCGCCCCCGAGGTCACGCAGCTGGCTCCTTCCCAGGTCATCCCGTGAGGCGCCGCGTGCCCACGCACTTGCCTGTCCTGTCGCCTGTTTCCTGCGCAGCCCTTGTTCCCGTCTGGAGGGAAGCACGTGTTTAGTTCGTGCTGTCTCCTCCCCCTTCTCTACGTTGTAAGCCCGGCAGGGGCTCCTTGTCCTCTTGTTCACAGTGACATCCGGTGCCTGGCACGTGGAAAGGGCGTGGAGGGTGTTTCTTGAACGAATAAGATGCTAACAGCCATTTTGTTATTTTCCAGAACTTTCAGTTTGCAGTTTGCAATAGAAAAAAAAAATATGAAGCAATGTGACTCAAGGCTTGCTGTTTAATCACAGAGAAGCTTCTAGAACAATCCCTGGAATGTGCATTCCTGCCACTTGTTCAGACGATGCTCACCAGTCTGAGTAGTGCCAGGGAACCCGGCAGCTACCTGCAGCTAATGTGAAGTTCCTCCTTTCGACCGGCCCTGCCTCTCCGCTGTCGTCCCCAGCCCGCCGCTGGGGTGTGGACGGAGAGGACCCCGACTCCCAGACGGGGCTGCCCCGGCCCCACAGGGGGACCCCTCCTCCCATTAGCACCACTGTGCTTTGGTAATAAATTGTCTTTGTGGAGCTTGGGGAGTCCAGTGTCTGCAAAAGTAGTTATTTTTGGAAAAGTTTACCTCCTTTTTTCCTCATTCATCTGTCCCTTCAGACTTTCATCCGAGCATCCACCCTTTCGTTCTTCTATTGAAACTCTCGTGCACACGCTCATCCACCGTTCTTCCGCGTGTCCGCCCACCCGCCCTTTCATCCGCCCTTCCATCCACCCACCCACCTTCTCATCCGCCCATCCACCCCCCATTTATCCCTCCAGACCTTCATGCACACGCCCATTCACCCAGTCTTCCATTTGCCTCGCCATCCACATTCCCCCAGCCCCCCTTTCATCCCTGCGTCCCTCCCTCTGTTCATCCATTCTTCCATCCATCCATTCGTTCACTGCTCATTCTTCCTTCCCCTTCCGCTTCCTCTCCTCCGTACATTCCTTTCGTTCTGCAAGCATCACCAGGTGCGTCTTGTGCAAGTGCTCCGGGACAGCCACCGTGCTGCGTGGAGAGTCCCCAGGTGGACAAGGCATCCCCAGGTCCTTGTGTTGCTAATGTGTACAGCCAGCAAAAGGAGACGGTATTCAAAGGAGACAGCTTTCTGAGGAACAGACACGGGGCTGTGCTGGAGAGGGAGGGGCAGAGGGATGGGGCTCCTTTGGGCAGAGCCTGGGCACAGAGAAGGGGCAACAATTGCAGTTGCTGCTCTAGGGCTGTTTGAATGTGCTGCATAACATCATAAAACGTGGTGGCTGAAAGCAACAATTTATTATTTCTCACGATCCTGTGGGTGACCTGGGTTCGACTGGGTAGATCTGCTCTACGAGGTGTTGGGACTCATTTGGCTGCAGGCAGCTGGGAGATTGGGCTGGAATGTCCAGATGGCCTCTTCCCCGCCTGGCACGCCCCCTGGAGTGCCTTGAAGGGGCAGGTTGGTTGGACTTCGCTCTCCAGCAGGGTAGTTAGACTTCTGTGGAGGCTCAGAGCTCCAAGAGAACAAAAGCAGAAGCCAGCCAGGTGCCGTGGCTCACACCGGCAATCCAAGCACTCTGGGAGGCCGAGGCAGGAGGATCACTTGAGGTCAGGAGTTGGAGACCAGCCTGAGCAAGAGCAACACCCCGTCTCTGCTAAAAATAGAAAAATGAGTCGGACGTTGTAGCACATCCCTGTTTGAACTGAGCGATTAAGGGGTTTTTAGGCTTTGTTGCCCTTCAGTATTCTTAATTCTCTTGCGTGCAAGACCCCACCGACTCTAAGAAATGAAACTGAGAGAATCCTCAGTTATGTGACACACTGAAATTGTACTTTAATTCTGAAGAAAACGCCCTCAAATTTCTTGACTTTTGAAATAATCCATAGTTTGTCTACCAGTGAGATATTTTAAAAAATAATAATCCATAGAGGGAAACCCCATTCTATTTCTTTTTTATAGTTTCCAATATTTGTTTTACAGGATTATGCAAATTTCGAGAACAGAAAGCAGTGCTAAGTGCGCCTTTGCTTACAAGAACTCGTCAAGTGTGTTAAAGAATTGATGAAAAATGTGTCTCTAAGTGTCAAGGCAAGGGACCTTCCTCTCAAATTAGCCGGACATGGTGGCGCATGCCTGTAGTCGCAGCTGCTCGGGAGGCTGAGGCAGAAGGATCGCTTGAGCCCTAGAGTTTGAAGTTGCTGTGAGCTAGGCTGACGCCACGGCACTCTAGCCTGGGAAATCAAGAAATTCTGGATTTCTCAAAGGGTATAATTATTGCAACATTTGCCGCGACTATCTTTTGAAAATATTTTATCCCTCGACACATTGGATTCTTTTCTGTAGACGTTACTAGACACCGTAGCAGCAGGAGCAGCGCAGTGTTGAAAGGGAGACAACCATTGACAACAGTGCTAGTCGGTGGACACCATTTTCAAAAGTCGTTGATCAAGAGATGGAACCTGGGCC